CATTCTTAAAAATACCATATTAGAAATTAATGAGCACATACATTTCTTTCTTTCATGTCTTTGGAGTGACATCACAGTAATTCAATTGGTGATGTGATGATACAGTGTGTAAAACACATAGTAAATTGAGGTTATGTGATGTGTTGTTCTTATGTGCACAACACACATACATTTCATTCAGACAATCAATCACATGACAAAAAATTGGATCATTAAAAATGTTGTAACACTGTACAGTATATCTAAAAATTCAAATATAATTTGAAACTTGCAATCTCATTGTTTCTTAATGGACCCCCACTTCACTTACCAGCTAACAACGTACAAGCCTATGGAACACACAGCCATATATATTATTTCTATTGTTTGAAATATTCCATGAGTATGAGAGTTGACATTGTACAATCACTCAATGGACCTAATACAAAACACTGATACTGAGATAAAATAAATTAGATGGATATGAGGTTGTAATGGCAGTGTCCATGAAGAGTACAGTCTTCTGGGTTGAAACATCAAGTAGTCTGGAGACGACCAAATGTTTCAGAGGAACACACAGCCTCCATCTCAGAACTGAAGAGTAAGTCAGAAAACAGCAGAGGCAGGTGGCAATTTCATCCTCTGCAATGTCACTCTCTCTCTCCAAACCACATGATGTTACAACCCAGAAGATTGTACTCTTCAAAATAAATTAGGTTCACTAAGAAAGGACACAGTAAATTGAAGGGAGAAGCTGTATACTCCTCTGAAATACTGGTACTTATCTCTCCACAGGCACCATCAAGATTTCACTGGGATGGTAAATTATATTTAAAGTTATTATATTGTGACATGTTGCGCAATGGAGCACAACCCCTCACCCCGCTAGCAGTGACGTAACACTTTCGGAGCATTGCCGTTGCTACGGTAATAAGCCAGTCAACACCCCGCCTCACCCCACGGTGACGTAACACGGGATGCCACCGTTGCTACACAGCAGGAAACAACTTCCGACAGCATTGCTTGCAACATGGCGCCAGACAACAGTGGTGACTATTACGTGGCTGTTTTCTGTGTTGTCCGGAACGAGGCTAAATAAGGAGCAGTGAAGACTATTCACAGTTAGTTCTCAAGTTCTCGAGTTAGCCAGGCAGTCAACCAGTCAGTGGTACTCTAGCATTTGCAGTGCAGTAATTGTAATACTGCAGATAGCAGTAATTGTCGGATTGTAATTTGTGTGATTGTAAAAGCGAATGTGAAATAAAATTCGCTATATCAAATACGGCGTGAAGTTATTTGTTGCGTATACACCCAACACGTGACAATATTTTACCATCCCGTTGCATTGAGACATTATCCTTGCTATCAAAGTATCCTTCAATAATGCAACAATATAAAAGACATTAGGAATATGTTTCATACTAAAAATGTATTTTAATATTATTATTAATTAATATGTATTAAAACACATTTTTAGTGTGAAACATATTCCTAATATCTTTTATATTGTTGCATTATTGGCGGATACTTCAATAATAAGGATATATTTAAGGTTGTTAATGTTATATTTTAGCGTCCTGTTGCACTGATTTATGTCCATGATTTATTCTATCCGTCCTACAGTGCATACATTTATTCACCTTACTCTTCTCTCTTGCACTACATGTTTCAGCACAAAAGTGCCATCTTCAGGTGCTTTTCAATGTACGTCAAACTACTTCATTGCGTGCCCTGTTGTCTTTATACTAAAATATATATTCATCATATATATTGATAAATTTTAAATATTAAAAATATTAAAACTGTTCAGGATTTGTCATCCTTATGTCGTATCTCAATACGCGAGTCACGCCTATCTTCTTCTATCGGAGTATTCTTCCTACTTTCGTGTGTGTATTGTGCTTTGTGTTACGTCTTGTGCCTGCTACATACCCAGCAGGCCCAGCAGTATAACACATGCAGTCACAGGAACAAGACGCAACACAAAGCACAATACACACACGAAAGTAGGAAGAATACTCCGATAGAAGAAGATAGGCGTGACTCGCGTATTGAGATACGACATAAGGATGACAAATCCTGAACAGTTTTAATATTTTTAATATTTAAAATTTATCAATATATATGATGAATATATATTTTAGTATAAAGACAACAGGGCACGCAATGAAGTAGTTTGACATACATCAAAAAGCACCTGAAGATGGCACTTTTGTGCTGAAACATGTAGTGCAAGAGAGAAGAGTAAGGTGAATAAATGTATGCACTGTAAGACGGATAGAATAAATCATGGATATATATTTAAGGTATCTGAGATTATTCTGATTGCCCAAGAGTATCAAGGACAGAATTGGAATTTGTTTAAAAACTGATTTTAATTTTTGATACTAATATTTCATGTGATTTTTTTTATTCTGTTTAAAAAAAAATAATAATAATAATAATAAAGTGGGGGATACAGATACTGAATGTGTAAAGAGAAATGCTTATTCATAATACGACAAAGCAATTCAAAGATTCAGAATTTTTCCAAATTCTTGCATCAAATTAAAAATGTTACTGTCACTCATTCTTAGTTTAATACAGCCCAGTGAATATACTAAATAAGACATGAATATATATGAGGATGGTCATGGAAGGGCTAAAATTGGTAGAGTATTAATTATCATTATTTAAATGTAAAGCAATATGAGTAAGCGATTATGGCACTCTTCTGTTGACACATATATATTTATAAAAAAAAAAAACAATTCACTTGCATTATGACATATCCATTCTTATCATATTACATAAACACCTCATGTAAGAAAGAAAAGATGATCAAGCCATGATCTTGAGCATATGGTACAATAAATATGATCACCACATCCATCACACTAAAACTACAGCAGTGTTCACTTGAGTTTTGAGATAAACTGTACAGTCTATGTAACATATTCTAAAAAAGAAAACTGTTGGGAAATCAATATTTTCAATATATAGATATATGGCTACAATTGATAGAATTCTTCACAAATCTTTTACCATGAAATTAAAAAGAAAATACAAGGTGTGGCAATAAAGAAACCGGATTCATGCTCTAACCCTTTATTAAAAAAAAATCAGACAGTCGAAATGTTATCCCCTTCAATGTAGTCCCCTCCCCGATCCCTACACCGCTCCATGCGAATTTTCCACTGTTGGAAGCAGTGCTGCAGGTCATCTTGTGTTATGCTCTTCAAGAGTTGCGTCGCTTTTGCTTTCACTGCATCCACGGACTCGAACCTGGTCCCTTTCAGCGCAGACTTGATTTTTGGGAAGAGAAAAAAGTCGCACGGTGCTAGGTCCGGAGAATACGGTGGATGTTCCATCACTGGAATGTTGTTTTTTGCCAAATACCTCTTCACAGATAGC